CACAGTCATTTCTACTTTTTCTTAACATAAATAAAGACGCTTTTCTGCACTTTAAAAAAATTTCAAAAAACACATTTTATTTTGGAAAATATATTTTGTGATTACTAAACATGGAAAAAAATAAATAAACATAGAAATATGAAATCACCATTGATATTATTGCCGGTTGGTCTCGCGGGAAGTGGCAAAAATATCTCTTCTTTTTATTGATTTGCCAGCCACTGAATTACAATCAAATTTAACATAAATTTAGATCAAATATTATAAAAATGGAAAACTTAAATAAAAAAATAAATAATGACAAATATAATAGTAAAAAAAAGAGTGACTACATTTATTTATTTATTTATTTTTTACATTAAAAGAGTGACTATAATTATATGTAGGTTAATATGTGATAGCAATTAATTAATATGTATTCAATCCACACCAATATTTGCTACATTAAAAAAGTAGGTAAATTAGTAGTTTATGACAATAGATTTGCAACAAAGAGTATGGTGAATGTAACTCACGTTTCATGCTTCATCAATTTTGAGATAACTCTAGTCTAGTCAGACGGATGGTTCGACCCAATTAATCGAGGCGATAAAAATTTATTGATTTAAGATTATTAAAGCTAATTAATGATTATTGAGGTTTTTTAGTACAACATTTAGGGGTAGGGATTCGAGTTAACGACTTATTGGTCGAAGATATATACCTTAACCAATTGAGTTATGTGTTGACAATGATCAATTGAGATTCTACATTCTGATGCCTCAAGAAAACATGTCGGTCCCTCCTCCACTTACAGAGTGGGTGCGCAGAGTGCATCAAAAGAAGGATGTCGAGCACACCAGAAAGTCATGAATACTCCAATGTGGTTAGAGGTGCTAACAAACTCACCCAACGGACATCTACCATGATTGTACCATAAACGCTGCCTCACCATTCTAATGTAGCAGAAAAGGATGTGGAATATCGGGCCGATTGACTGTCTATCCTGCTTTACTTCTCTCTCATTCCATATATAAGAAAAAGAGCAACCCTAAGCAGGGTAAGCAGCATTCTTCCTTGTAAGGATTCGACAACACTTTTAAGCAAATTTTCACTTTTGAGATTACTGTTTTCTTACTCTATTTGCTCCATACCGATTTGCTCCCTACTTGAGTTTTAACTTAAGCATCAGACTACATTCGACTGAGTATCACACCAGTGTTAAATTTCTGTGTACACGCATCAAAACCTTGGATATGAAGATGTATGTGGCACTATATATGTGGACCTCACCCAAAAATACACACACATATATATATATATTTTTTCAAATATGTAGTATTTGTAATTAGTTTTATACAGATATTGTATTTTTAAATATTCTAGAAAACTATTTTACAAATTAAAATTTCCTTTCAATTTTTGGTGCACAAGCATTGATAATACAATTGTTATTTTAACTTTAATTGTTTTCGTGTATTTTTTATGAGGAAAATCTATTGTTTGATAATGGTTTTGCTTTTAGAAAGTAACATACTTCCTCTCTATTCTTTTAATTTATTTTTTATCATTCTTTAAAAAATATTTGAATTATTCAACAAATTTTGAACTATATATATATATAAAGAAAGAAATAAAGCATCGTTTCTGTAGTAATATGGAAAAATAAATAATTCAAATAGTTGTGAGAAGAAAACATCTATTCATCTATTGAGTTCATCTGAGACCATGTTCATTCATGCAATATATTTAAAATTTTATTTTAATCATAATTGTATTTTTGAAATTTTTTTTAATAGATTTTGAGGTGCGTGAGATACAAAATTGAAAGTTTAATTATATATTTTTAAACTTAAGGAATATGTTAGATACAATCTTAGAAGTTTAAAGATCTATTTGACACAACTCTAAAAATTTATGGACTAAACTTATAATTCATGGACTCTAAAAATAGCGGTGGAACTTTTCAATCAATGAATAAATGTTCAAACAACTATTTCAATTATGGTTTATATACTATTTTGATCTATATACTTTCGGTTTCGATTCATTTTAGTCCATGTATTTTTAAAATATCCATTTTGATCTCTAGACTTTTGTTCATTTTAATCCATGCACATTCAAAACGTTTGTTTTAGTCTCTATACTTTTAAAAAATGGCAATTTTGGTCATTATTCGAAAATTTTGAATACAAATTATATACCCAATATAAACCATTTAATACAAAGTTATGGCAAGATTTCAAGAAATTGAGTGAGTGAAACATCATGCTAAAATTTTGGTTAAAATAATTAAATAAGATAAAAATGAAAATGAAGGACCGTTTAATAACCATTTCATTAAACAAGATTATTTCGTAATCAATTCATTTTTTTTTCAAAAACCAGTTCGATAAACATTTCATTTTTATTTTTTTAAAAACAAGATGGTTTAATAACCAATTCAATTTTCTATTTTTAAATTCTATATAAATTTCAAAAAGAAAAAAGGTAGTTTCAAAAAACTTATTTCCGTTTTTCAAAATCTGATTTTTTTTTTCTAATACTCAAATTTTCTTTTCTATTTCTCATATTTATCTCTAAAAACTTTCTTTCACTCTAAAATTTTTTTATTTCTAAATTTCTCTGTACAAAATTAATTTGAAAAGTTTCTTACTTTGAATATTTATTATTATTTCGCTCTCTTTCCAAAATTTTCATTCCATGTATTTTTTTATTATGTTAAATAAATTTCTCTCTACAAAATTAATTTTTCCCTCTCTAAAATATTCCTACTGAATATTTATTATTATTTGTCTCTCTTCAATTTTTTCATCTCTGTGTATTTTTATTTTTTATTCTATTAAATAAATTTATCTTTACAAAATTAATTTTTCTCTCTCTAAAATTTTCGTACTTATTTATTATTATTTATCTCTCTCTGAAATTTTCATCTCTATGTATTTTTATTTTTTATTCTGTTAAATAAATTTCTCTCTACAAATTTTATTTTTCTCTCTCTAAAATTTTTATAGTTTAAATATTTATTATTATTTGTTTATCTGCCAAAATTTTCATCTCTATGTATTTTTATGTTTTATTATTTTTCTAACAGATTAGTTTCATTTCTCTTAATATTATTCAAACTTTTTTCTCTCTAAAATTTCGTCTTTTATAACTTTTCTTTCTCAACCTAATCTATTTTTCCATCTTCTTTTCTCGTTCAATTTTCTTTCACGATAACTTTTACTTGTATTTACTTATTTTCTTTAAAAATTATATTTTAAATCTTGTTTTTATGTCTGAATTTTTTCCACTATGATTTTTCTTTTCCACCCCAAAAATAGGAAATGCATGTCCCAACTCCGTTCCCAATTCCATTTTTTAAAATAATTAATATATATTTATTATGTTTTTTTTTAATTTTTTAAATTTTAAAAATAATTAATAACCAATAATTTTTTCGAGAACATATCTCAAACCGAAGAATGAGGTAGAAACGAGGAGTAACACGGGTATGAGAATTGAGGATAGTATTCTCACTCGCACTCACACCATTGTCACCTCTACTCTACATAGAATTTTCTCTATTATTTTCAGTTTTCTAACTTTTTAAAAACAAAAAATTAAAAATAGTTATTAAACATGTTTGGTTTTCTGTTTTTCAAAAACAAAAAACAAAAAAATGGTTATCAAGCATATATCGTTTTTGCTTTTTAAAAACAGAAAACCAAAAACAAAAACTAAAAACAAGAAAAACCAAAAATATAAATGGTTATCAAACGGGCTCGAAGGGATCAAAATTATCATTTTTTTAAAGTATATGATCAAAATGAACGTTTCAAAAGAATATGGACTAAAATGAACAAATTTTGGAAGTATAAAGACCAAAAATGACGTTTTATAAGTAAAGAGACCAAAATGAATAAAATATGAAAGTATATAAACCAAACAAATATTTAAACCTTAATTATCCATTCTTCACATCATTACAGCAATGATCTTCGACCTAAAAAAATAGAAAAGTAACTATCTTAACTTATAAATTATACTCAAATTACAGCGTGTAGATCTCTTACTAATCTCCCCAAGTATGAGGGAATGTTAAGCGATGTCATAAAATTAAATTATAAATTTGGTCCTTAAACTTCAAGTTGTATCAAATAAGTCCCTAAAATTTATAAAGTATAAGTTAAACTTTCAATGTTATGTCTAATAAACTTTTAAACTTTAAAAAACATCGGTAAATATTTTAGTGAATCCATGAACTTTTATGTCAAGCTTATAAATTAAAAAAAAAAAAAAATTCTACAAGGACTAAGAGTTGCTACACTATAAAATTGTACGACATATTTGACAAAATATTAAAAATTCCAAGACATATTACACTTTAAAATTAACTATTGGATGCAAACTCTAAATATTCAAGAGAACTATAATGTATTACTCTCGTTTCTTCTTTTCATTTCATGTTCTTGATATATCAAATTTTAAATTTAAAGAATTAAAACTTTACATGAAAACTAATTTGGAAAAGTCCTTTCAAGATTTTAATGTTATTTTTATTATTTTTTTAAATATTCATTATACAATTTATAAGTCAAGATGAAAAATAATCATTTTAAAACTGAAAACAAAAATAAGGAAAAAAAATCCATAATTTATATTATACTCAAAGAATCCATAATTTATATACAATTTCAGAAGGGTCTTTAAAAAAATGAAGAACGAAAAACAAGTTTCTACGTCCCTCAAAAACTAGAAATAATAAACAAAAAATGAAAAACAGAAACATTAATGCACAATACTTTCGAGTTTTGAGGATTAAACTCGTAATTTAACCTACATTGAAGATTGACATTCTGTTGACGAATTCAATCAGTTATTTCTTTCAAGATCTGTAGGATTTACCATAAATAATACAAAGGCAGGAAATGCCAAACAAACAGAAATCATGTTTCATGATGGATTCTATCTATCTACTAGTATTCGTATCTGCAAATTCTAATATTATGAATAAAATAAAATACAATGGCCTGTTTCTTGTTCCAATAACCAAAAACAAAAATGAGAAACCTTGACTGGCAGGTGACTCTCTGAGAAAGAAAATGCTGAATCTGAATGTGTTTCCTTAGGACCTAATGCGTTTCATCAGAGACAGCAAAATGCAATCAAACTGTCAATCTAGGACCGGAATGCCATGCTCGAAATTAACAAAAATCTTACCGTTCCCACTACCAATCTTCGCTGTCGCTGAATTACGAAGAAGAACAAAAATCCTATCGTCTCATTACATTAACCTCTTCAGCCTCCTCTACAACAACAGGTAAAGAACTTTCTAGTGGACAGTTGTTTGGCGCTCATCAGCATCTTCATGCTCAACCTAACAAGATATGGCACAAGGAACCTTGTTCATAACCACAAGAAAAATGGAAGTAGCACAAACGCATACCATGTATCATAGTTCTATTTCAAAAAACGTGCCACAAAACAAATGCACAATGATAAGATCCAGTTCATACCATATTGCTAGAAAAACCTATCTTCCAAGAATAAAATTTTACTGTATGGCGAGTAATCGGTCATTCAAGTAAATGGATTGCATACAAACATGAATTATTATGCACTAGATGCATCATGGAAAACTACAAATGTCCAACCAATATGAGGTAAATTGCTGACATAAGTATAGTTCCAAGACATCTAAGGCATTGGAATCTCTTAAAAGTTGTGATTTGAATCTCTATCTAATGGTGACACTAAAAGAAAATAGAGAAAATTTGTACTGTTTCAGATAGCTTTTTCTGTAATCTTCATGCATCAGGAATTAATGACCACAGACAGAAAATGGAAGAAAAAAGTAGTTTCCTTTATCCAGCAGATAGGAACCATACGAGAGTGGGGCAAGAGTGCATGAATAATGTCAGTTATCCTAAAAACCATCACTAACCATCTTATGAAATGAACAAGTCCACAAGACTAACAAAACAGCAAAGATTCAAATTATATTAATGCAATTTTTCCGACTGACTGTTCAAGTGATGGTAGGAAATTAACTATTACCTCAACTATAACCCTCGCTTTCTTCTTCAGTTTGGCATGAGCATCTTTCTCTAGCTTCCTCAAAGAAAGAGTAGACTCCTTTCTACCTCTCTTGTGCGGAACATCTGTGTCTTCAAGATCTTCATCTATTCCATCTGAATCATCAGAACATTTACACTCAGTTCTAATAACACCAAGCAAAACCCTCTTGTTTCTACACCTATTTACCGGGATAAAAAAGAACCTCACTTCTGGTTTTACAAGATCTATGTATACATTATCCAAAAAAAACATAGAGCTGGTGCATCTCTAATAAGAAAGAACTGGAATGATTTGTTGAAAACTTGAAATAATTTGTTATTCTAAAGGCTGCTTTACCACTATCTTCATCTGCTTCGGGATTATGGATTGCAAGACCACCAAAATCTTCCATATCTTCTTCTTCTTCTAATTCTTCATATCCTTCAACATATTCTATTTCAGGTTCCTGCTTATTCCAAGCAAAAATACAAATTATCAAATAATGGAATATATAATCCTTAATCAGTCCCAGACTCTCCCTCAAAGGAATGGAAAGGGCGAGGGTACTAATAGAAATTTTGCAGTACTACCTCCTCCTCCTCTTCACTGGCGGCCTGTAATTCGTCCATTTCAAGAACTTGATTATATGCTTCGACAGGATAGTTGTATATATCACCATATACTCCTTTCTTAAGGCGTTCTAATAGTTCCTTTTCAATGCTCTGCAGAAAAGTAGATCTTCAATACAGTTTCCCCACATTAAGTACTCAGTAAAGAAAAAATCTTTCTTGCAGAAACAAAATAAACTTCATTGGTTTCAATATCAAGAATATACCAAAGTTCAACAAAAATCTTGAAAGTACAACCTTATCCAACAATGCTGCTTTCTCAGCCTTTTGCTCCCTTCTGGCTTCTCTTTTAATCTCTTTTCTGGGAGTTGTCATGATTTTCTCCCTGTTCGGCCATTAAAGTAATACATAGTTAGATCAAGGAAATCAAATCTTCTAAACATTTATAATAAACTACTTCTCATTAAGGCATCAGATTAGATGCATAAAACAGGATTAAGGAAACAAGAGAGACTACAATTCTTTATTATGTACAGACAGACAATCAAATGACAATATAGAACATAAGGAATGGATGAAGAAGAAATGTAAGAAATAATTAACCAAACAGAGATATTGGCGGTTTAGAAGCAGAGCAGCTATACTACAATCAGAAATTTCAATTAAGGGTACACGTGCAAGGGAGTAAGAGGGAAAGAGAAGGGGAGAGGAATCCAGATAATTTCAGGAGAAGAATTGTCACTCCACATGACCTTTTAGAACAATATTTCATCCTTCAGATTGTCTCTTACTTCCTCTCCTCTGTTAAACCATAATAGCGAGAACACTCGAGCTCTTGCAATTTAAAACTTTAAAGTTACCAATACTATTTTCCAAAAACAGAAATAAATAAAAAGATACTACAATGTCCTCCCAAAGATTTTGAGGATTTTAAGATGGTCTTAGTTCAACAATGCTGAGTTCAGAACTACAAGATAATAGACAGCAATTTCAAACGTCTAACTCAAATTCTGTGGATAAATGCAATGTTTGCTTCTTTATAGCATTTGTGGGATGAGAGAAACCAAAGAAGTTATGAAGGGGCAAACTTCAGCACTAGTGTTTGGGACCTCATTCACTTCCATGCTCCTTGTGGTGTCACCTATCTACCTATCTTAAAAGTTTTGTAATTATGTTTTTTTTTTTTTTTTTGCATTTTTGGGCCAACTAAGAAGCTTTTTGTAAGTCTCTGGCTGCTTGGGGATTTCTCATTCCCATCCTTTTGTATATGACCTTTTGATCAATACAATTTCTATTTATTAAACAGGGAAAAAAAATGTGCTAGAAAAATCCAAGACCAGGAAAGTCTCCCAAAAATATCATTGGTGATACATGGAGGAAATAGCTCCGTGCTTGTGTATCTGGCACATATTTTTTCCTTAATCATTAATGGAAGACCTAGAGGTAAAATTTAGCATCTAAGGCCAAAGACAAGAAGCATAGCTCAACTAGATGATACCAGTAACCTTCCTTAAGGTTGGAGATTTGAATTCCCACCACCACCCCCACACCTCGATGAAGTTAAAAAAAAAAAAGGCCTTAGAGAAGGGAATCTGCTTCCTCCCATCCTTTTTATCATGGTCGCATAGTGCCTCATTAATGGATTTAATATGTGAAATTCATCTATTTCCATTAGTCATTTACAATTTGTGATGACCTTTTTTTCTATATTAATGATAAAAGGAGGATAGACAACCCCTTCATCATTGTAGATATTTTTTAAGATGCTTTAAGTCTTAACATAAATTATAGCAAATCAGAGATTCTGGAAATACTTTCCTCGGGCTCCCATTAAATGGTAAGAATCGTTCTTCATCTTTCTAGGCTCCAATCATTAAGCAAGTTGACCATGACCTCCATAAATGGAAGCATTCCAATATTGCCAAAGTAGGTCGTCTCACCATCACACAAGCAACTCTCTCCAACCTCCTTTTATATTATTTATCTCTTTTTACAATTTTATCTACAACTGCAAAAGCAGTAGAGGAAATTTTCAAAGATTTCTTATGGGAACATTGGGAAGTGATAAAAGAGAGGAAGGATCTCATTCAGTGAATTGGAACCAGAGTCAATTGCCCAAGGAATATGAAAGTACGGATATTGGTGGCTGATTGCTGGGACAATGAACATGGAGATTGGAATCTGGGATTCAGAAGAGGAATTATGGATAGAGAGTGGCATAGTTGGATTCAATTGGTGGAGATCCTGAATTCTTTTCGCTGGGGAAATGGAGAAGACAAGGTGGAATGGACTTTTAATGGTGAGAAGTGATTTACCACCAAATCTTCCGTTTTAAAGTTAACTGAAGTTACTCCTAAGCTTAAAGCTCCTTTCGTAACCAAGATTTGGAAGTTTTAACTGTCCAAAGAAGGTGAAGGTGTTCTTGTGGAGTCTTGACTATCTTGGCCCCTGCCCTTAGGTTGTTGCTCCTTTTTTATCTCTAGTACCTGATGTTTCTTATTTAAAAGAAGCAAAATACTGGTATTGGCATTGTCGAACTGAGAAACTAAGCCCTCATAGCGGAATGGATATGGAGGTTCTTGATTGAAAAAGATGCATTATGGAGAAGAGCTATTGAGGGTAAATATGGTTACAATCACACACATTCTTGGCCTGCTACAAAAAATAAAAGTCGCTTTAAGGACCCCTGCTTTACCCTTAGAAGTTGACTGATCGCATTATGAAAAGAACCAAATGCACTTTGGTCTCCTTTTGGCATGACATATGGACTGAATGCACCCCTCTATACTATATTAAAATTATAAATAGTGATCTTTTCATTTTGCCATTTTTTCAATCAGAGTCAGGAAAGCAAATAAGATTTACATAATGAATGTTATCAAGTACCCATGTCCATGTGTTAGCATAGGTAGAACAACTTTTTTCATCATTCAATGAAAAGTTCAAATAGAACAACAGCCTCAGTTCAAAAACAAAGAAAGGTGCAGAAAATATTGAACCTTGTTTTCAAAGCAAGCTTCCTCATACGTATCCGCATTTGGGTCATTTTAGTCAATCGTTGCTTTGTTTTGTGTACAAGTACCTTAGGCCAATACATCTGTCAACAGCATAAAAAGATAAGTTAAAAAATTTGAAAAAGAGAATGTAAAAGATTAAACTAAGATGCAGAGCATAGACTTAGATGATTACTTACCAGATGTTTATCTATAATTTCCAGTGCCTTTTCATAATTTCTGGGCAACTTAACTCTTTCCCACAACTCATTTGGCTTATGAGCTCTTTCAATTGTCTTCATATAAAGATAGAAAACTCCTGCAGTAACAATAGAATAATATTTTGCTAATTTAACTCAATAAAATAAGTCATCAATAGGTAGCTAAATTAGCGAGATTTATAATTGGCACTGGCATATATTATATGAGAAACGAAGAATTATTTAAAAAAGAATTGTATCTCAGGAAAAGAAGATATTTTCATGGGGAGAATGGTCTGGATGCAGAGACTTCATGGCATCAAATTTGAATGAATAAGTACTCTCATCCATGTCGCATCCACTACTCCATCAAGTAGATCCAATTGTAAACCACTACTAAAATTGAAGTAGATGATTAAGTTTTGAAGGCTGGATTAAACTTTGTTATTTTTATTATTTTATACTTCATTTATAATGCGAGTTGTTTAGGGGGAGTATGGGTACTGTACTTGACATTATTTCTTATATCCATTCACAATGTTGTACGTACGTTGGTTGAAGCTGTTATATTCAACAATTACTTGTAGTCCATAAAGTTTCACATACGATGTTGAAGCTCATTTTGAATTCAATGAACATGTAAAGGTGGGGATTCAAATCCCCAACCTTTAGGTCAATGATTTATTTTTTTATACCAAACAACACTTTTTATTGAGAGAAATGAAAAAAACCAGCCCTGAAGGAGGAAGCCCCCTAAAGAAAATAACTCCAATCCAAAAGAATAAGGCCTAACGGATAATTACAAAAGGACTTAGAAACGGAGCCCGAAACCGAAGTATTAAATCTAATGATCTCCCAAACGTAATCTACTGACTTCTCCACCCCCTAAACAGTCTATGATTCCTTTCCAACCAACCTTTAGGTCAACGATATATACCTTGACTAGTTGAGCAATGCTTAGGTTATGATATTAAAGCTCTTTAAAATGCTCAACAACTATTGAATAGAATGTGGATAACTTGGGGCCATCTAGTAACAATATCCCGTTTCCTATTTTCTGCTTCCTTGTTCTAACCACTTCTTATTTCTTAGTAAGTACAACATTCAAAGAATTTGTCGTTTTTATAATATTATAAGCTGGAAATGATAGAATTACTAATACAATTAACATTTTGAACATTGGAAACGAGCACCAAAACTTGGATATCGTTCCTAAATGCACTGGAGCCTCAAAAACTAAGAACTAAAAAATAATAAATAAAAGAAGAAGAAGGAAAAGAAGAATAGAAGGTCATCAAACCGGCTTCAATTTTCTCAAATTCAGTTTAAGAGCCAACATCCAAAGGTCATAAACTGATATTCTTTATTCACTTCTGCAGACAATAATGCGAATAACACCATAGAGGTACAAAGATCCACTTTTATCAATCAATAGTGCAAAAAGAGTGCAGCACGCTCTAAATTGTAGTGAATAAAATCAACGCATCGACAACACACAAATAAACCCAATGAGAATTAATCAGAAGCAGGAAATACCGTCATGATCGCGAATAGTAGCATAGCGACTGTTAGCCAAAGGGCATGAGCTCCGATTACATATCCCAGTTACGTTATACGGATTTCTACAGAACTTCCCAGTCGTAATCCTACCAAAGCACAAACCCAGTCATAATTTTTCCAAAGAAAAACCACGAACACATTAGAAATATCAATTGCAAAAAAGGAAAAGAAAAAAAAAAACTTACTTGGCCATGAAGCTGCAGTGATTGTGGCGGATGACCTGCCATATGACTTCGTCGTGCTGCATCCTTTACTGCAAAAATTAAGAAATAATAACGAACGAAGCGTGTGCTAAGAAGCGGAATGTTTAGGGTTTATGAAGTCGTTCTGAGAGTTTCAGAGATGGAACCGGTAACTTCAGAAGAGGCGCTAAATCGGTGACGAAGGGTTTTGTTCTGAATGGGAATGAAGATGGGTTTTCCGGTTTTTTCAAAACCGGAATCCGGGCCGGATTTATTTTGAATATTGGAGAACCGGCCAAGAAAACTCGGTTTTCAGCTGAGCGAGAGAGAGCTGGCGGCTAGGGCAAAAAGTCTTTGTCTAATGGTTTTTTCTTTTTCTTTTATTTTTTATTTTAGTTTTAATTAAAGTGGGCTGGGCTGGTTTTTGCGGGATTATATGCTGCTTGACGACAATAACTGGGCCTGGGCTATTTCAAATTAGGGACTTATAACTAACCTAGTTTTAGAAAATATTTACAAAATAGTCAAGAGAATTAAAATATTTACAAAACTAATCTAAATTTTAGTATTTCGCATTTTTAGATTTAATTTTTTTTTCCTTTTTTGATCTATATCTGACAATAAGATATTTTTTCTGTTAATTTTAGAGTTTAGACATTCAAAATGTTTATTTTAGTACCTAAGTTTTTTTAAAATAATAATATTGGTCAACACCGTTCTTTTACCGTTAATTATTTAGCACATAGACGCCGTGACTTCAAATATTTTTATTAAGAAATTGAGGTAAGTATGTATTGGAATCATGTCGAGGCAACTAATTGGGTGACCCATTGTTTTTTAATTCAATATAGGAGTGGGAATTCAAACTTTTGATCTTTTGATCGACGATGATATATGTCTTAACCAGTTAAACTATGTTCATATTGACTTAAGTGACACATATTAAATGATATAATAATAGCAAAATAGATCATCTCAATATTTGAAAACTAGGATGGCTATTTTATAAAATTCAACCACTAAAATAAACATTTTATAATATTAGTGGTCAAAATAGAATAAACTATTTTTGAATGACTGCACCTAACTTGATTTTCAAAGTTATTTCAGCAAACACACTGATGTATTTAATTACATATATATGATGGAATTGTTGACGTTTGTCGATTCTTTATTTATTTCTTTACTCAATTTTTGTTTATTTTTTCATGATAAAAGTTGAAGTTAATTTTTCTGTGAGGAGTTACTTATTTGTACAACTATATAATAGTTGTTTTCTTGATTTGATGTATCCAAACATTCTACATTTGAGTTTCTTTTCATCTCACAAGAATTCTCTCTTCTTTTATTTTGTTGTTCATGTTTATGTTAAAGAGCAAGGTTGTTGTTCTACCAAAGCGTTAATTATTGTATCATGTTGAGACGATCGTTGTAGGTTTGCTAGCAACCTGTGCATAACGAATAATTATCTTCAAGTCATGAGTCTTGAAGCGTGTCTTGACTATATTTCATTACTTTTCGATGTTCCTCAAGTTCAATTTGTTTGCTGCATAGCTGTTGTCGTTCTCATCATCTACGGTTGTTTCAGTTTTTGTATTTCTCCTCTGGTTCGTTCAATATTAATTATCTGTATTACAGTATTTAGTTCGATTGACACTGTGAGGATCTATAATTGTTTGTAATAAGCTATCTGTTTACCAATGTTACACAATTTATACATACAAAGTTTTTATCCAACAATCTCTCCTTTTGATTCAAGAATAAGAAAATGAAGATCGAAACGAAACGTGAATATCTCTTACTACCTCTCATAAATTCTATTCATTTCAAACTTTTGACAATACAAAAGATCATCTCTCTCCTAGCAATTTTATTTTCAAAACTTTATACAATTTGACATGTCAGAGTATATCATATGTCCCCCTACATTCTTCTTGGAATGGAGAAAGTGAATTTCCAATTATAAGCTGACATAAAGAAAAGGTCTATATAAACTATGAATGGCAATAAATTAAACAACCCCACATGGGTCTAAAAAGATTTTATCCCAATGTAATAGATAAGAAATGATATGAAGAAAGTCATCAAAATAAAACTAAAAAAGTAGGTGCATTGCATTCTTCCAATTCACTACAACAATCTAACTTAAAAACTCCACACTTGATAAACACAATGAATGTATTTCACATGTTCACAAGAAAGTCTTCATCATCTTTCATGTCAAATAATGCCCATTTATTTTGAGTTGGCTTCTTTGAAATTTTTAGATGAGTCATAGATCGGTAAGTTTAAGAGGCCAATTTAAGAGTAAATTGTCATTATAAAATCTTAAAACAGTAGATTTTATCCTGAACTAAGGTTCTCGTTCAAACATAGGATCTCTGGCTCGGATACTATTTTACACATGATCAAATTACTTCCTTTCAAAATAAAAAAAAGAAAAAGAAAGAAAGAAACATGATCAAATCACCCATCATGAACTTAAAAGCTTAAGATCATGGGTGGTAAATTCAATCATATATAGATACTCAACATAAATCAATCGGAATGAGAATGTTATTTATTTGATGTTGTTTATCTTTAATTTTTCAGAATCGGAAGAAATCTCTATCGATATTGTTTAAAAAACGGTCTGACATTAGAATATGATTAAGATATATAATAATTATTAAAATACATGTTTCTTATTTCTAGCTAAAATACAAATACACTAAGTAAATAGGTGCTTTTTAATTAAAACAATAAAAAAGTGTCATCTAATTTTAATGTATATAATAGGACACTTTTTTTTTCATACCATGTACTTTTGAGAGAGCTTCTAATAATGTGTAGTGTGGAATTTTGTTATTGTTTACTAGTGTCTTTGGGAATAAATTTTGAAAAAGTAATTTTTAAATAAAAATATATTTTTTTATAAGAGCCTAAAGAATAATTACTAATTAAGGATATATATTTATTTTAGCCTCTTACATAATTTGAGATGAGTAAATTTTTTTTTTAATTATTCCATGTTTGATAATAAAAAAAATCATCTCTTTTGATTGATCAAAAAGCTGAAGAAATATTTGAAAGATTAATTATCCAAAAAAATAACTTTAAAATGATTGAAACTACTATAATTACGTTTATGTACATTTTTTACTCTAAAATATATAAAAAAGTGTAGGGTCGTTTGATAACCATTTCTGTTTTTGATTTTTTGTTTTCTTATTTTTGGTTTTTAGTTTCATGTTTTTAAAAAAGAAAAACCATATATGTTATAACTTGTTTTTGTTTTTTGTTTTTAAAAAAATAGAAAAACAAATATGTTTATAACCATTTTTGGTTTTCTGTTATTAAAAAGTTAGAAAATTGAAAATATATATTAGAGATAAAATTCTATCTAGAGTAGAGATGACAATAGTGTGGGGCAGGATTGAAAATGCGCTCCCTCATTCTTGTACTCGTGAAAATTTTTAGTCCATCATCTCTACCTCGTTCTTCGATAAAGAAATCCAGAACCATATTAAAGAATGGTTATATTTTAATGATAATTTTATTTTGTTGATTATGTAAATTTAAAAACCAAAATAAAATATTCACACACATCTAAAAAATGAATTAGTATAGAAGTTTAAGGTCGAAATGAGTAAAGTTTCATTGTTCAAGACAAAGAAAATAATTATTTTAATACATAAATTAACATTAAAAAAAGGATGAAAATTAATGGTAAAACAACTATAGCATAATTTTAAACCGAAATAAATATATATATATATATATCACATTTTTTAAATAAAAAGAAAAAAAAAATTCCACTACAAATTGTTTTTTTTTACCTTTATCATTGCCTGCCAAATCTTATTAAATAAAAATATGAAAATCTTTTCAAATAAATAAAAAGGATGAACATATCATGTTATGGTGGAAAAAAAGACAAGTGGAGTCTGCCAATGAAGCATGAAGCAATAATTGACATTACTACTCATCTAAATTTCTTCCAATTCTTCATATTTTCATTTTATCTTCATATCATGTGAGGAGACACTAGACAAGAAGTTTTGTTTTATTATTATTATTTTTTTTCAAAAGAGAACTATTTGGGACATTTGATTACATGTTCTCTTTCTAGCTTCTTTAGAGAAAAAAAATGACTATTTCACATTTCATCAAAATTAGATTTTTATTTATGCCTTCAAAAATAGATTTTAAGTTTATACTGTTTTGGTATTTTTACTTTTGCGTTGATTCAGTTTGAGTAATGTAATTTCAAAACGTATATTTTGGTACATGTACTTTTAAAAAGTGGCTGTTTTGGTCATTTCATTTTCATTTATTTTGACCATAATTTTAACATGATAATTCACTCACTATTCTTGAAATGTAGTTATAAATTTGTATTAAAGTATTCTATTGTGTATAAAATTGCTATTATAATTTTGTAAGTATGGACCAAACTGAACATTTTTTTAATATACAAAGATCAAAATGAACATTTTGAAGGTATAATGACTAAAATAAATAAAAACTGAACATACAAAAACTAAAATGAACATTTTAAAAGTTAAAAGGTTCAAAATAAACCAAAATCAAAAGTACAATGGATCAAAGTAACGTCTGTACCAAGATTTTAACCCTTTTTTTTTAATAAAGTTTTGACAACGATTTATTAGTAACTTATAAAACAAAGATTGTTGGATACCTTCAATACAATAATTTTAGAAGAAAAATGAACAATTATTTTGAACCATTAGCTATATTTTCGCTCAACTTTTTATCATAAAAGGTGGATTTATTTTATGTAGAAAAAACTTACCTCGTGAATATTCATGACCACGATCCTCCTAATTATAACATTGCCCAATAGTAAATTGTCATATGTTGCTTTGAGATTTTAAAATTATTTTATTGAAATTCACATATCATCTATATCTACCAAATATCTCTTCAGTATATCTTTTACTTTTTTCTTCAAAACGCATTTGATGTTTCTCCTCTCTTTTCTCTCCCCCTACAATCTCTTACCTTCCACTTTTTTCTCTGCATCTCTTCCACTTTTCCTCTCTTGCTACAATCTCTCACCCCCAATTTTTTAAGCATCATCTTCATTTTTATTTAACGAGTTTTCTAAAAAATAAAAAAGCTATAAATTGTGATCAAGGGAACTAAAAACAAAGTATTAAATGAAAATATTTAAGAGGAAAAAACAAAAAATAAAAATATTGACAAAAAATATATAAAAAAAATAAAGAGAACTAAAAAACTTAACTCACTTGTTCAAAATTAGTCGTTCTTTATTCTCGATTATTAGAACTTGTTGATATGTTTCTCACATTGTTGCTATGAACATCCCAATCTAATCAAACTGCTGAAAATTATGTAGTACTTCATTTTAAATATGAGAAAAAACTATAAATGATAAGAAAAATAAAAAGTAAATCGGGATTGTGTACCTTTATACTTTAAATTGTCATTCTCTGTAGCTTAGAAAGGAAAAGTGAAGAAGATGTGTTCCAGAAGAGAGAAAAAAGAGGTGCATTAAAAGTGAGAAATAAAAAATATATTGAAGAGATATCGTGGAGATATGAATGAGATATGAATTTTAATAAAATAATAGGAAAAATCTCAAATCTGACCATACATGTAATAATAAGAAGCTTGTGGTCCTCAATTTAGAAGCTAGATATTTTTCTTTTTACCTAGCTCTACAATTTTTTTAATCCTTCAAACCCAAAAGTAACTATAAACATTATTGGGAAGAAAATGACAAAGTTTGACAAGATCATTTGTAATACTTATTAACATGACACAAGTTGATAAGTATGTAAATATTTAATTTTTAAATATATTCTTACATAAAATTATTAGATTTTTTTAAAATATTAAAATATAGGTTAAGTAATAAACTTAACCCATAAATTTTGATATTTATATCTTCGTCGATGTGACATGACAATTGGACTAACATAGGGTAACCAAAGAAAAAAGCTAGCTAGATAAAAATAAGAGTGAACTAAGGTAAAAAAAAAAAAAAATGGATGCAAAATGGGCTTACTTTTTAACTTTTTGTTTTTTTTTAACCATTAGCTCTTAATTTTATCTACCTAATTAAGTTTATTCCTTTATGCCATATTATGCAAAAGCATTATTGGTTAGTCTAGTCCGCGCGTCACATTCATTAATTAATTAAATAATGTTGTTAATCAAATGAAAACATATTAAACTTATCAAAATCTAAAATTTAAAAACGCGTAATTGAAACTTCTAAAAACTTTGAGACTAACCGACATAAAAAATTGTAACTTAACAACCTAACTTACATTTCGGAAAATATACTTCAAATAGATGTGTGTCATTAGTCAACGTCCATGTCGTAATTAATTTTTAATTTTGATTATTGAAAAAAAAAACAATATGTCACCTTGTCAATGTCCTTTATTTTCCTAGGTTCATGTCTTAATTATTTTTATAAAAAATGATATATGTGACTATGTTTTATGTCGTGTTGTGTCTTGTCTATTATCATAAGAAAAGTAAACTAAAATCATATGGAAACAAAAGCCCATCGATAATTCCATGTAGAATATGCAATGTCTGCCCACATTTTAAGGTACACAAAGACATGAAACATTGAATACCAAAACTTATTTGGAGATGATGATGCTTACTAGACAAACATAACAACTTATAAGAAAATATAACATGAAATTAACTAGGGTATGTACGTTATATAAGTACCGTTAAATTAAAGTCTAAAAAAAACAGAGAAAATCAAGGTCGGCTTGGTATGCAATCCAGATTTGTTTTCAGATTCACTGAATCAAATGGATTCAATGAATACATGTTTGACATATTTATTTTGAAAAACTGTTCTTCGATGTTGTGACCCAAAGAATTGAAATTCTAAAACAAGTTTCAATGTTTTTTGGTTTTTGACTTTGGAACTTTAAAATGCAGAATTAGATTAAGAAAGATAAAAACTTTCATAAATATATTATGACATGTTATTAACTTTTTTTGTTAGAATTAAATAATGTAAAATATATAATATTGTAAAATAATAATTCTACAAATTTATAAGGTGCTAATAAATTAATTAATATTATTCTATATCTAACTAACTACCACTAGTCTACAAATATAATACTAAACTCCTTGAATAATTTTTTAAATCGAGATTCAATTTTCAAATCTATACCAAACACAAAAACACTAGAAAAACCTTTGTTTGTGTTGAATCTCTTGTTTTCAGATACTTACTTCTGCTCATTGCTTCGCTGCCTACTCATGGTTAAGGTTATTCTTTGAACATTTAATTTTATCTTGGAAAGTTTTTTATGTTGTGACTTTAATTCTCTCATTTGCTTCGTTTGTATTATTGTTGTGTAAATAGGCCTTGGTTTGCCATTGAAACCTAAGGAAAATGAGATTTTTTTTTTAAAATAATTGGTTTTACCCTTTAGTTATACCATTGTAGAAATAATATATGGATCAAGTAAGAATTGTACTTGATTGATAATCTTGTGATAGATGAGTTGGATGAAGTTATTAGCTCGTAGAGAAGAAAAAGTGACGAAATACAATCACTTTACAACATGTAGATGGGCCTATTTGGGTGCACGTCTTTTCTCTCCAATATGGGACGTGCTCCAATTGAGTAATAATTTTGATATCCTTGAAAAATATATATATAACGCTCAAAATAAAATATGTTTAGTCAAAAGTGGCCTCTAGATTTTGGTCTTGAATGATGTATATATCGATAGTTTTTAAGAGAATTAAAGTCTTGATATCTCTTGCATCTCGGTTTCGATTATTAGAGATAAAAGGCTAAAGATGATTTTGGATTACAAAAAGAGAGAGGATTAAAGCATGATTGAGAATTATTTTAAGAATGGAAAATGTTTTTTAAAAATATAATATTAAAAAAATTATGTAAATTTAGACCCAAGAATCAAAATATCATATCGTTATAAAAATGTAGAACAAAATAAATTATCACAGTACCAAACATTCATACATTTGAAAAATGTTCTATATGACAATGCCGGGTGAGAATAATGATTAGCTAAAAAATAAGAGATCCAAATGACATCACACACCACACATGTAGAGGTAGGGGGGAGATGTTTGATGTCGGACACCGTTGAACATGTAACTCTCCCTACTTGGAGTCTTTCCTCTCACTCATTGGAAATGTCTCAAACAAAACATATCTTTCGGTATTTGACATGTATTCCTCTCTTAAAGTCGGAGATTCAAACTCTCGTACTCCCGATTTATTGTTCTAAAAAAAGAGTGCTCACCCTTCAAATTTTGCTCTAGAATGATGTGTAGGATAAATAGATTGAACCTTCTCACATCAACCGCACAATTTTCAAAAGAATCAATTCATCCGCATCATCGGGACCATGTCTAGGACCCAACATCAAATTAACACTTAGTTCCAAGAGCAAAGCAAAACCTAATTATTTTGTTACCATCTCTATGTTGCCATGCTCCCTCAAATCTCCTCAAACTATTAAAGAAAGTGCTCCTCAAGCTCTCTCCTTTCAAGAAATCTCCTCAACACAAGCACAAGATGAAGGTAAAAGAAATCCATTATTATTCTTTGTTGTTCCTTTGAAAGAACCATCCGAGCCATAGACCCTAATTATATCCCTCTTCTCTTTGTAAATTGAATAGTTATTAGGATGGATGCATCGCAAGTTTCGGCAAAACAGTGGCGAACCACTGAGAGATTTTGTTATTGGTAATTCCCTCTCTCTCATACCATATTGTATATGTTTTTAAATTTTGATATAATATGTTGTCAAGGTCAGTGTTGAAAACTACTACTACTTCGAGGAGTATTTGTAGGAACTAATAATCATAAATATCTACTCATTGCAACTATGAGTCCCCAAAGAATTAAAGTCATTCTTAAATTTCGGCTTTTTCCACTAGAAAAAAGACATTTTTTTTTCATAGATACTCAAGATGTGGTCAAACTAACAATCTTGGACTAACGGTAAAAATTTTTAAAATTTTTCAGACATCTATAAAATGTCATAAAATCTGAAAAATTTGTAAATCTCCATTTTTTCCTGTTAAAATTGTGCATCCACCAAGAGTCATTTAGTAAAACAAAATTTCAGTTTTTTGACAATTAACTGTCATAAAATTTTAAAAATTTGGAAAGTAGTGTTTTTTCCGACAAAAAACTTATCCTACAATTTGTGACAACCTTTTTTTTCCTCAATATTTTTTACTGTTCATAATTGTCATAGAAGACCAAATTCATAGTACTGTTTAGATGTTGAAGTATAGTTTTTGTCATTAAAATTTATCTCTAAATTCTCGATTTCTAATTCTTTAGAGGTTTTAATATTACAAAGAGGGTTAAAGGATAATGTTGGCAACCACAACTTATGAAATTGTTAGTTTTTGTTTTTGTCTTTTTTTTTTTAAGTACAAGTGGGTGGAAATTCAAATTCATGATCGTGCTAGTTATCACAAAGCTAAACTCGTATTGGTAAAATTGCTAAAGCATGTTAGGACTTTTTTGATAAAGGGAAAAAATGATTATCTTCGTGCTAAAACGATTTATGACAAGATTTATCTTTTCTTCTTTTTTTTTTTTTATAAATTCTTTATACGAGTGGTTGTATAAAATTTTCATCTTTTTATCTCTTCTTTATGTTATGAACCATTTCATTACACGTAAATGGTATAATCAATAATAAAACAAGTCTCGTTAGTTTTTTTTTTTCATTAATTCCCAACTCAGAATGTTACAAGAGTGATTTTCTTTTTAATTTATATCTAATTTATTTGTTTTATAAAATATTATAAAAAAAGTCAAGTATTTAAGGTATTACAAAATTAGATAGATTAAACTGTAATTTCATACCACTATTGTTAAAAAAATTTACATTTTTGTCCTTTTATAAATGATGAATTCTTATTTTTATTTTTTGTAAATTTAAGGGACCAAATAGAATCTTTAAAAATTTTCATATCAAATTATGAATAGGGACCATAACTATATTTTGATTTCCTTTTAAAGATCTTAAATTAGTTTCTATTTTATAGGATAATTAATAATCCGATTGTAAATTGTGATGGGTTCACTCTCAATAGGAAAAAATTAGTGACTATTTTTTTCCCTCTTTTAAGAAAAGGAATCTTAGAACTTCTAAATTTGTAGAACATTTTTTAAATAAACCACATCTTAGAAACATTATACACTTTTTTTTTTTGGTAAATAAAAATTATAAACTTTTTTAAATCTTTCAAAGTTTTTTGCAGGCCAAGCACCAAGTGATGACCCACAACAATATTTCCCAAGAACAAACATTATCAACAACAAACCCAATTTCAAACAAGCCCAAAGATCAGCAGACCTGAACCAAAGAAAATCCATAGATCATCAAGACTATGAATTAGATGAACCATTGGTGTCAATATCTGAGATCTTCCCAGGCTTTCTTGCCATTGGAACCCTAGGCTCCTCAGACCCAGCAACCCCAAAATTCTCCATCTCCATTGACAACATCACTGAAAGAGAGACTGAAAAAGTCACGGAGAATGAGCTGAAGCTGATCAACGATGAGCTGGAAAAGGTGCTGCTCGAGGCGGCCGACGAGGCCAAAGACGACGCTGGTGCTGGGTCGAGGCGGAACAGCCATGTCAGCATGGGAAGAAGCAGCCATGGGAGCATTGCTACTGCACTGAGTGGTAAGCCATTGGATGGGCAGCTGCCTGATCAGAGCAATGCGGTCAACGGTGGCGGTGCCGGGGTTTGCCCGCTGCAAGGGTATTTGTTCGGGTCTGCGGTGGAGCTGTCGGAGACGAGGACGGTGGCGAAGAAGGAGAACCGGACCTCGCTCGGGGAGCTGTTCCAGAGGAGCAAAGTGATGGAGGAAGTTGGAGGAGGTGATAATAAGGATGAGAATAAGGATCCAGGGGACAAGTATGGGATGCAGTTGATTAAAAAGAAGCCGAAGAAAAGGATGCTTAATGCTGCTTCAAGGAGCTCTTCTACTGCTGCTGCTGGAGCCTTTGATGTTTCAACTGAATCCAAAAAACTTCATAAGGTATACATCAAATTCTTTTTTTCTTCTTCTGATATATGGTATCACTCCTCGTGAGAGGAATTATTTAAGTCTCTGAAATTGCAAGTGATTTGTTTGAGTCCCTGACTCCATGCTTATTTCATTTTGGTTCCTACCGGTTAAGATCCCATATTGATAAGATAAAAAGATTAAAAAAATTTATAATAGAGATTGACTACTCCTCTCATTATCAATAAATTTTAAGATGAATCCAGGAACGAATGTAGTATTCAAAAGGAACCATAAAAATATTTATATATCTTACTTCTTGTTGTTAATTTTGGTTAATTATTTAACATGTACAAGTTAGAATCTTATAAGATAATTAAAAATAAACGAAATTCATTAAAATGGTTTTTATGCAAAACCAAAGATATTCAAAACACAAACAACAATGTATTAATGTCGTTACTTTTATTTTCAACGTGGGATCCTTTAACAATTCTAGAAACCATTAAAATTTAGTCCATGTTTCTCATCCTTAAAATGCTTGGCTATGGCTTTGTAGATTCTTCAAATGTTCAATAGGAAAGTTTATCCAGAAAGCCCCACAATGGTCAAAGAAAAGTGGGATCACAAGCCCCAAAAGAATGACAAGAAGAAAAAGACAACCATTGATGGAGGAGTCAATAACAATAAGACCATCAACAATGGAGCTGATAGAACCTCCACAGATGAAGACATCATGATGTTTCCAAAAAAGCTCATCCTGAAAAACACCTTAAGACGCTACAACAGCCAGTCTATTCCTCCACAAAACTCAGTTGATGATGATGATGCAGATTCTAACAAGGAGCAATGGATCAAAACAGATGCAGAATGTAAGTGAAATGCTCTTTTATTTCAAAGCGAAAAAAAAGTAAAATTTGCGAGCGTAAATTTATATTTTTAAGTCTTGATCACTGTGTGTTTTTAGAATTTCCACTATTTTATCGTTTTCTTTTGATTGAAGTTTAATTAGGAGACATCCTTTTATTTGACAACAAATTTCCAGCATTTCAAGTTATTTATAGATGTGTGACCTATAGGGTTTATGATGTGATTTTTTTTTAAGAATGATGTGGGATTATGGATGATTGAATATTAATCTTGGTTGAGAAACAAGAATTTGCATGAGATATTAATTAGTAGAAGTTGATCATTGTTACCTTTCAAGAATGAGAATCTATGGGACCAAATTTGTTCACGTCGGTAGGGAAAAGTTAGGCGACCTCCGTTACCCTTTGGGAGGCCTACACCCCATAGAAATTGTATATCTTAGATTGTCCCTTGGCCCGTAGATCTTGATACAAGGTTAGAATTCTAGTTCTTACAGGATGATATCTCACTGATGGCTGGGGGCCTTCTCCGCCCTCCACTCAAACTACGTAGGTCACCGTTACCTTTTAAGAATGATAATCTACTTTAAATTATTTATGAAATAGATCTAACCCCTTAATGTGTTTTTTTTAAAGTGAAGTTACAAAACTCAACTCAAATTTAATGCTTATGTTTCAACCAAAACAATATTATTCCTAGCTCTTTCCTAATTCATACATATCATTAAAACAAAATGTAATATCATAAAATTGGATCTAATATCATAAAATTGGATCTATCACACTCATAAATAACTTGTTTATTTTAAAATTTTGTGTTACTCTTCACTAGCATCCCACGTGAATGTTTTATTTTTCTTAACCAAAAGATATGACCAAGTTATGAAATTTTTTAAAAGCGCAAAAGGTTAAATTTTAAAATCTTAAAAAAGAATTTTAAACATATATATATATGTATATATGTATGAAACATATTGTAAACTTATGAATATATGAATACATCTTAGAAGGAGAGGATTTCTCACAATTATAATCTAGCCTTTCCAAATGAAATGTATTTATATAAATCCAATTTGCAACTTTGAAGATTGAACATCTTTAATTATTGCTTTAATTTTTAGTACTAACCATTAATATTATTGTTGTATATATGTCTCTTAGACCTGGTGCTGGAGCTCTGAAGCACACAAGAAAACAAGAATATGGCCACTTGAGCATATAACCTAGTATTCCTCGAATGCATGCATGTAGTGATGATGGTCTTGATCATGTAGTAAATAAACATAAGAGGGGACCTTTCCTCTGAAACGTTATTGTTTTGATGTTTGTGATTGTGAAATGTAAAGGGTATTGCATAATTAATAATGTTATTGTTAAGAAAAGAATATAGAAAATGCATATGTTTGTTTCTCGAGATAATGAAGGTAAATGAAAGAAATATATATATTTGTCTATTATCTGAGGAGTCGGCGGTAGCCCTTAGCCTTTATGTCCCTATACATGGGGTATAGACATTGTCCCCATACCTGTATATACCCAAGAAGTCATCGATTGGTGAAAGATGCGTCTCATGTGGCTTGAATCCAAGACCTAACTTCGAGGTCCCAAGTCACACCCAAGGTATCCTTTCTTTCCAAAGAAATATATTACTCATTTGGATTGATAAAAAAACAATGAGAAAATAATAAGAAAACATTTTGGGTGTAAATTTGTGTAGAAAGAGATTGGCGAGTGAAAGTATGTCGGTTAAAAGAGGAGGTTGTTAAGTTTTCCAACCCAATAAAACTAGAAACTATGATGTTTAAGGATCCGCGTCAAAAAGATAAAGGATCTAACATAGGTTTATAACACTGATTAAAAAACAGAGTGATCTGTAGTATATATAATAGATAAGGAAAATTATATCTTATAATATACCTGACCTAATTATACAACTAATTATAAGTCAAATAATAGACATAAAATAAGATGGTATGCGCTGTTTGGTCATAACCCAACCTCTACGAGTTTCTATTAGGATTTTTTTTGCTTTTGCTTTTGTTATTATTTTTTCACTCCTACAACAAAAATAGAGACTTTCAAACTTGTAACATATTATTCAAATGAAAGTACTTGAACATGAGAGACACCAAATTGTTAGAATTTCTAATAATATGGGTCTACCCATGTAAACATTTGATTTGTTCTTTTACTATTTAATTAGATCAAGAGAAATGATCTTGTGTAAGTTTGTTTAATGGAGTAATTATAAAATGAATATGGAAAAAATGTATAGATACCATAAAATAATTTCCAATTTGATGAAGGGCAAAATTGGAAATATAAAAACCATGTAACCGACCCGTGTTTTCATTTTGATCGGTTACATAGAGGTTATAGTCCCCAAGTTAGACAACGTTTCACAATATTCTCTCTATCCCTTCAGAGAGAAACGACTCCCTACTTCTTCTATTCAATAGAGAAGAGATTTGAGAACATAACAAGTCCAATCGTGGGTTATCTTAACTTGGAAGATCAAATCCCATAAATTTGCTTTTATCGTGGATTCAGGTACGCTTCATCTCATTTCTTGTTTAACTCTCTTGAATCAACATGGGAAATAGATCTATGGTCTTTTAAGTTATGTGTTTATTTTTCCTACAAGTGGTATCAGAGTCCTCCCATTGTTAATTCTTGAATTATGTTGATATCAATTCAATAAGGATTTTTAATCTTCCATCTTGAATGTTTTTTTTCTCTAGTGCATGTAGGGATGAAATTTGTGGTTAAATTGCCTTTGCAATTAGCAAGCGAAAATTGTCGTTTTTTTTATTAATCAATAAGTTCATATTTTGACTTTAAATGGTCAAAACAAAATATGAACGTATGTAAATTGATTTGAGTAAGTATTCTATCAATTTTATAGTTAATTTTCATATCTTCCATTAATGGTGGTTAAAGTTCAAACTTTTCATCGAAAGTTTTTTTTAAGCCCCTGTTTGCGGTTACGTTTTTTAGAGTTATTTATTTTGTTGGGTGTACGTATTTCGGTTGGCATGGATTTAGTGTTCATGTGCAGTCTTCAATTTATGAATTCGATTAAAATAAGAATTTCTTTTATTTTCCCATGGGTTTCATGGATTCAATGACCCTGAACATTTCACGTTTGTGTTTAAATTCAATTAATTAATTTTATAATACAACAAAGTGCAGTATTTAATTTTATGGTTCATAACATTAAAGTTTAGTGATTAACTTTGAGGATATACTGTGTTTAATGCATATTTTTTTTATGCATTTGATAATGTTATGAAATTTTTGCACTAAATTTATATTGTGTACCATTACATTGTTATATATTTTATTTTAGACAATCATGAATTCAAGTTTGGTAAATTAATTTTATGGTTAATTAAGATTACGTTAAACATATAATTGAATAATTGAAATTCGATGTCACCAAAGTGACCTCTCTTGCAGAGATTATTCATGAAAGTGTTTAATATTTGAGTGTTTGTATATTTTAACAAGTACTAGTCGGCCCAAAGAAAGGTTAATATTTGACGTGAATTACAGACATTTTTGTGGTGATAAATGTGTGACAATTATAAGGCTTTTGGGCATGTAAATAATAAATCGATCCAAATATATGTTTGTAATTTGACGTGCATTTATTCTCAATATTTGATCACTATGCCAAGATTATCGCTTACAGTCAATATTACTGTCCAAAGATTTGATGCTGATGTTGGGTTAGATATCTTGTGAAGGGATTAACCATTATTTGAATTTAATGATTATTATGGTTAATTGTGTTGGGTGTGTTTTCCTAAACTCGTAGTTTGTATTTATGTAGAAACAAATGTATATTCAATAAAGTTTTATTCAATAAATTTGTTGTTAAATTCATAGCATTGCATTGTCCAAAATCCAATAAACTAAACATCCAAGGTTATTATCATGTAACCGGGACAGTATATATATTCGGTATATATTTGATATACTGGCTATATAATTGATATACCCCTGATATATGAGGTATATATTTGATATACCTCTGATATACAATGGATAATGTCTCGTGAATAACCTAAACGGTCTATAGTATATGGATAAGGCTAGGTATCTTATTCTGGCAACACTTTGGATCCGGCCCACTCTATAAATGTTACAGACGACTCGATGCAGGTCGTTCGTGTGGAGACATGCGAGTGGGGGTATCCTATACAATGAGTTTGTATAAGATCGGACTGCGAAATAGTCAATCTTTAGATGTAACGCCTTTGACTAACAAATTGCTATTTTGATCAGACAACTCATTCTCAATCCTGAGTGAATTATGGACTCCTGCTCGTGAGGACTCGTCCTTTGATTTGTATGGGTGAGAATGACCCAAGTTGCCGACTCAATATTCCTACCATTTTGGGGACGAGACCGAGTGGGGAGCTAGGAACATAACTTCACAAGATGGAATTCACTCCTCCCCGACCTTAGGGGAGTAGATGAGTGTTCTCTTAATTACTGACTCTGGGACTTGAACAAGGGGCCCCACCCTCTCACTAGCTTGAGAGAGACTTCCGGTTATTGGTCGGACAATAATCGGGCTGTTCACTAAAGGAGCAGTGATATTTAAGGAGCAAGATGTAACTTAGAGGTAAAATGGCAATTTGACCCAACTTGAGTTACAAGTAGTCGTGAAGGATTGACTTGTCATTAATGGTCGTATATCCGTGGACACGAAAACATTCTGCAGTGAGAAGAGTGCAGTTCACTAAAGACCCGCAGTTAACGAATGTTGATTAACTCGGTTAATCACCCGCAGTTAACATATGTTTCTCTCATTCTCACGTTCTCCTTTATATTCACACTGTGAGTTCCATGCTCAGCCTCGTGTCGCCCTAGGCGCGGCTACCCTACGGAAGGTGTTTGCATGGTTCAATATCGAGGTGAATGGAGATATTATTCATAATAAGTGGGAGAAGGACATGTGACAACACATCCAGTGGTCTCCGCCATTGGTTTGCACCGTGAGGTTTCATACATGACCTGCGTGTCGTCCTGGAGCGACCATCCCTACGGAGGGTTCATTTTATTGAATCAAATCCAAGGAAAACACCAGAAATGGATAAGGGTCTTTTAGGTTTTGCTCCAATATTTTCCTTCCTTACTGCGGGATTATTGGGGCGGACCTCTGAGGTCTGAAAATGGTGAGTCACACTTAGAGTTGTTAAGTTAGTTAACAATTTTCTAACCAAATAAACGATGACTAAGGAATATAGGAATAAGAGTTATTCTGGTGTAAAATTTAGTTGAGAACATCTCAATTCAGTGAAGGAGTACTTGTCTGCCCTACGGTGGCTATTGCTCTAAATCACTGAAGCGTCGTTGCAAAACAATTTTGTTAGGGTGCTTAATTACTTTTGCTAAAATTTGATTGGGTTTAAAGGCTAATGTATGAAACTAATATAGGTTTGTTTTTACTTTCAGCATGTCTACTTCTATTATTGCACTCCTAGCCGCGCAAAAACTTAACGACGAGAATTACAAACAATGGAAATCGAATCTAAACACTATTCTCGTGATAGATGATCTTAGGTTCGTCTTGAAAGAKGATTGTCCTCAAGCTCCTACGCCTAACGCCACTGTGGCGGTGCGCAACGTCTATGACAAATGGATCAAGACCAATGACAAGGCCAAGGTCTAAATCTTGGCAAGCATATCTGATGTGCTTGCTTAGAAGCACGAAGACACAGTCACCCTAAGGAGATCATGGACTTGCTGCTGAGCATGTTTGGACAACTGTCCTTACAGGCTCGACATGAAGCCCTTAAGTTCATTTACAACTCCCGCATGAAGGAGGGCTCCTTAGTGCGAGAACACATTCTCAACCTGATGGTCCACTTCAACGTGGCAGAGTCGAACAGGACTGTCATAGACGGGTAGAGTCGGGTCAGCTTCATTTTGGAATCTCTCCCGAAGTGTTTCCTGCCATTCCACAGCAATACCGTTATGAATAAGCTGGAGTACAATCTTACCACGCTCTTAAATGAGCTACAGGCTTACCAGTCTCTTATGAAAAGTTAGGGATAGGAATGGGAGGCAAACATTGACACCTTGGAAAAGTTCCACCGAGGTTCGACCTCTGGAGCCAAGTCTGTGCCATCCTCTTTTGGAAGTAAGACTTTCAAGAAGAAGAAGGTCACTGGTAAGGGGCCTAGACCTGACCCCACTGCTACCACTGCCAAGAAAGGCAAGGCCAAGGTGGAAGATAGAGGAAAGTGTTTCCATTGCAATATGGATGGGCATTGGAAGCGCAACTACCCAAAATACTTGGCCGAAAATAAGAAAGCCAGCGAAGGTAAATATGATTTACTTGTTTTGGAAACATGTTTAGTGGAGAACGATGAATCCACCTGGATACTGGATTCATGAGCCACTAA